GGCCTCCCTGTCCATCACCAACCCCGGGAGTTTACGCAAACTCATGTCCATCAAGTCAGTGATGCCATCCAGCCATCTTATCCTCTGTCGTCCCCTTCTCCTCCTGCCCCCAATCCCTCCTAGCATCAGGGTCTTTTCCAGTGAGTCAACTCTTCGCATGAGGTGGCCAAAGTATTGGAGTTTCAGCTTCAGCATCAGTCCTTCCAATGAACACCCAGGACTGATCTCCCCTAGGATGGACTGGTTGGATCTCCTTGCAGTCCAAGGGACTCTCAAGAGTCTTCTCCAACACCACAGTTCAAAAGCATCAATTCTTTGGCGCTCAGCTTTCTTTATAGTCCAGCTCTCACATCCATACATGACCACTGGAAAAAACCATAGCCTTGACTAGACCGACCTTTGTTGGTAAAGTAATGTCTCTGCTTTTTAATATGCTGTCTAGGTTGGTCATAACTTTCCTTCCAAGGAGCAAGCGTCTTCTAATTTCATGGCTGCAATCACCATCTGCAGTGATTTTGGAGCCCCCCAAAATAAAGTCAGCCACATGTCCCCTCCAAAGAGAGAACCATGCAGTGGTGTCTGGTGCATTCACAACATTGTACAGCCACCACCTGTATCTAGAAGCAAAATACTTGCCCCCAAAGGAAACCCTGAGTCCACTAAGCAGCCCTTTCCCCATCCCCCCGCTTCCGTTCAGGCCCTGGCCATCTGGGTGGGCAAGGGGCTTCGCGGGAGAGGAATTGGAGGGTCGGTAGGCGGATGTGAGCCCAAACGGAAGGACATCCTGGGGCTCAGTGCGGACACAGTGTGGAGAACTCCACTCAGGTCTTTACCTAATACTGCAGAAGAAGGCAGAAATATCAGCCACCCCCGTGGGTGTTCATCAAAGGTGCAGCCCAGTGCCTCTCGAACTCCGGGGAGCATCAGACACCCTGGTGCGCCCATTAACATCCGTGGAGGCGTCCCCCCAACTGGACGTCCCCCAAGTTCTCAGGTGCTGCCGCCGCGGGTCTCAGAGGCTCCCCTCCACTGTGCAAACACCGGCCAGTCACTCATCATCCTCTTCATGGGCCCCTCCAGCCTCCCCATCCTCCCGTCGCCCTGGAGAACTCCGTTTTCCAAATTAAGCTTTTCTAGGAGTTTTCAATGGAGGAGAAACTGCTCTTAAAAAAGAAGAGGAAATGATAATTATGTGGTGTGACAGAGGTGTTAGCTGAGGGGACAGTGGTGAGCCTGTTGTGACTCATAAATGTATCAGCTCAAGACGTTGCCGGCCTTAAACCTATACAAGAGTATAGCTCAGTTCTATCTCAATGGAAAGAAGACGTTTTTAAGTCCAAAGATAAAAAACAGAAGGTTTTCTGGAATGCAGAAATCTGGTCCCGCATGCACTCGCTTGTGCAGAGGATGGGTGGCGGGGCGGTGGCGCGGATGGCGGCCTCGGCCGGGCTGGCCCCATCCCCCGCCAGGCAATGCCATTATCGCGGCTCCGCTTTGTTCTCTGCGGTACCAGCGGCGGCCGCGGGCAGGCTTATCGGTCGCCATGGAAACTGCCGCCTGGCGTGGGAGGGGCGAGAGCCGGTGAAAGCGGCCGAGAGGGAGCCTCCGAGCCTGGAATTTTCCAGGCTCCGGAGGTAAACATGCTCGGGTTTGAGAAACACGGGCCAGCACGTCGCTGTCACGTCTCTGCGCTTCTTGACAGAGGAGGGGACGGCCCGTCTAATTGCTACAGTATTAGATTCCTCCTGGGAGGGTCAGCAATCCCGCGAGTGGGCATCTCGCTGCAGCACAGTCGACTCCCTGAACCGCCCTTTTTAATTGAATTATGGCTGGTAGGAGGCAAAACAGTAAGGAGAGCTGTAAACACGCAGAGAAAGAAGATGGATGGGTGCGCCTGGAGATGATCGCACTAAGGCATCCAGCCAGGCGGAGCAAGACAAATGTCCCGGGGCACAGCCTGGGGGGGTGTTGGGTGGTCTTTGAAAAGCGATAGGGATGAGCTTGTTTACAAAACAGAAATAGACCCCAGACACAGAAAACAAGCTTACTGGGTTACCAAAGGGGAGAGGGGGCCGGAAGGAGAAATTAGGAGTCTGGGATTAACATAAACACACAAAATAGGTAACAACAAGTAATAACCCAGAAGGAAAAGTAATCTGAAATAGGATATAGCCATTCTGTAGTTTTTTTTTAGGAGAAGATGTAAAGCTTCTATATAGTTGTTGTTTAGTCGCTCAGTGGTGTCTGAGTCTTCTTGCGACCCCATGGACTGTATAGCCCACCAGGCTTTTCTGTCCATGGGATTCTCCAGGCAAGAATACTGGAGTGGGTTGCCATTTCCTCCTCCAGGGGATCTTTCCTAGGGGATCAAACCCGAGTCTCCTGTGTTTCCTGCACTGACAGGCAGGTTCTTTAGCACAGAGCCGCCAGGGAAGCCCCCAGACTTTTTTACGGAGGATGAATAAACAAGTCTCTTCCGCATTGCACAGAGAGCTGCAGTCAGTATCCTGTGATGAGTCATGATAGAAAAGAGTGCATGCGAGAGAGTACATACATGTGTAACTGAGTATATATGAGTACATGTAGAGAGCTGAAGCACTCTGCCGTGCGCCTGAAACTAACACACCTTGGTGAGTGAGCGGTGGGCTTCCCTAGTGACTAAGCTGGTACAGAACCCACCTGTAATGCAGGGGGTGCATTCACGTGTGCTCCACTTCAACTACACTACACTCATTCAGTTCTACTCCAATTAAAAAAGAAAGAAAGAAAGGGAAAGAGAAAACAAAAACACCAAGAAGATGGTTTCAAAACAAGCGCACAGGAGAAGTCTTGCTGGGGAGGTGATGGACAGCTTCCATCCATGATGGCACCATGTTGGACTTCAGCTCCTGACTCAGTAACTCTGTTGCCCAAATGTGTTGGTGTGGAAGCTTGGAGCTGAGGTTCATTCATTCGAGTGGCTGTACAGTGTTTGAATATGCTCTGTTTTCTGTAACAGGTCCATGGGTAACTTTAGACTCCCACACCCCTGCCAGGTTTTCGCTAGTACACACCACACTAAGAGAAGTTGGCGCGAGTCTTCGTCAGATAAATAACTGTTGCTGGGTTCATTCTGGTATTTTTCTCCTTCCTCTATGTGGAGAGTCTCTCCAGGGTGTTTGTCCAGGAGGGGAATTAGTGGCCGATGTTGGAATTCATTGTTTCAACCTGTCTACACATTGTGACATGGCTGTCCCGATGGGTAGTTTTGTTTTCTGTTTCTCCTACTAAAAGGAGGCCCCCAGAGGTCAGAGACATTTTCTGTCTTCCCTCTCCATCATGTCAGAACACCAGGTACACGGTCAATACCCAGTGCAATTTGTAGATGAGTCATGAAAGTGCAAATTATTTTTTTGCCCAAAATTGGGATCGTGGCACATACATGAATTTTCATCTTTTTCAGGTATTACGCTGTTATGATATTAAGTGTTTTGTGAAAAGTTGTTTTGCTTGTTTAAAAGCTTCTTTTCAGTTGGAGGTAATTCCTTTACAGTGTATGCTGGTTTCTGCCATACGCCAACAGGAGTCAGCCATAGGTGCACACGTGCCCCCTCTCTCTGGAGGTTCCCTCTCGCCCCCCACCCCAGCCCACCGCTCCAGGCCGGCAGAGAGCCCCGGGCTCGGCCCCCTGCCTTAGGCATCAGCTTCCCATTAGTGGTCTGCTTCATACATGGTGGTGCACATACGCCAATGCCACTCTCTCAATTTGAATTTGAAAGCGAAAAAGCAGCACCTCTGTTTCAAAAACACTGATAAATCCGTGGATCTGTAGGAATGCGCCTCATGCCGCTCACTCCCTTGATCTTGGCAGGGAAAGAGGCGCCTTCACGGGGTCTGAGGTTGCTCACTGTCTCCGTGTGTTGCAAGAACAGTTAACGACTTTTCTATCTGGGGCGCTCATCTCATTTTTACCATTTCTAAGGGGTGGAAAAATGCACGTCGCATGACTTTCACCTTTGAAACCAGTTTTTATGTGCAGTTGTGCACTGCTAGGGACGTTCCCGCTCTGGTGGGGCCAAGGGTCTCATCTTGCCAAACCTAAACTCTGTGCCCAGCAGACTCTTCACCGTCCACCCCTGGGCACCACTGTCCTCCCTCTGATTCTGACTCTGGGGGCCTCACATCAGTGGGATCCTACAGCTGTTGTCCTTTTGGTCTAATCACTCTGGAGCAAAATTATTTTCACAAGAAGAGGCGATGCAGCCAAAACCAGCAATCAGACATGCACGACACACAGGAGGTGCAGTCCAGAGGTGCCCAGGCCGGCAGTTAACAGAATATACTGTGTGTCCCTTAGGCGACACTTCTTGTGATCTGAGCCCTTCCGTGGTATCTGGGGGGCGATTCCCTGCTGACTTGTACACTCATCCTGAGCACATTTTCACTTGTGTATCACGCTTTCCAATTTGTTGTTTTGCATGCTCTTCCTCAGAGAGGCTCCCCACCCGCCCCCCACCCCAATTGCCCAACTTCAAAGCCCACTAAGCCCGGATCTCCTCTGGGTCAAGTGTTCGATAACTTCTCTCTTATGTTTCAAAACCCAGACTTTGAAACCAAACTGAGACGTCATTTCCCTCCTTATCAGGCAGATAAAGATGAAAGAATTGATACCACCCAAGGTTGACGGGGACTGGAGGAAGGGGTGTCGGAGGGGGATGGCTGGTTCATCCTTCCTCGCAAACATTCTGGCGGGGATTATAGAGTTTAGAGTGTACATTACCCTTTGATCCAATAATTCCACTTCTGGGACTCTGCCCCTGCCCGTCGGCATCCGCACAAGAGCACCCACCCACACGGGGGTGAGGCGAGGCCTTGACTCTGACAGCAAAGAAACCGAGAACAAGGACGTGTCACACAGCCCTGAGCGTGTCAGAGTAAGCGCTCCACAACAGCTCTGAGCCTCTGTGCGGGGCCGCGGTGGAGACGCAGACGTGGCGCTCAGGCTCACGGGAGCGGTGGGGATGGGCTGCAGTGAGCCTGACACGCGCAGTGCCGCGCGTGACACAGGCCGCAACGGGAGCGGGGGCCCCACACAGCTGGTCCGCTCGGCACTGAGGACCCAGAGGAGGCCCGGGCCGAGTGGGCTTTGGAGTCTGGCCGTTTGCGTGGGGGGAAGGTGGGGAGCCTCTCTGAGGAAGAGACTGCTGCTGCTGCCAAGTCGCTTCCGTTGTGTCCGACTCTGTGTGACCCCATGGATGGCAGCCCACCAGGCTCCTCTGTCCACGGGATTCTCCAGGCAGAACACTGGAGTGGGTTGCCATGTCCTTCTCCCGAGGAAGAGAACACAAAACAACAAATTGGAAAGCGTGATACACAAGTGAAAATGTGCTCAGGATGAGTGTACAAGTCAGCAGGGAATCGCCCCCCAGATACCACGGAAGGGCTCAGATCACAAGAAGTGTCGCCTAAGGGACACACAGTATATTCTGTTAACTGCCGGCCTGGGCACCTCTGGACTGCACCTCCTGTGTGTCGTGCATGTCTGATTGCTGGTTTTGGCTGCATCGCCTCTTCTTGTGAAAATAATTTTGCTCCAGAGTGATTAGACCAAAAGGACAACAGCTGTAGGATCCCACTGATGTGAGGCCCCCAGAGTCAGAATCAGAGGGAGGACAGTGGTGCCCAGGGGTGGACGGTGAAGAGTCTGCTGGGCACAGAGTTTAGGTTTGGCAAGATGAGACCCTTGGCCCCACCAGAGCGGGAACGTCCCTAGCAGTGCACAACTGCACATAAAAACTGGTTTCAAAGGTGAAAGTCATGCGACGTGCATTTTTCCACCCCTTAGAAATGGTAAAAATGAGATGAGCGCCCCAGATAGAAAAGTCGTTAACTGTTCTTGCAACACACGGAGACAGTGAGCAACCTCAGACCCCGTGAAGGCGCCTCTTTCCCTGCCAAGATCAAGGGAGTGAGCGGCATGAGGCGCATTCCTACAGATCCACGGATTTATCAGTGTTTTTGAAACAGAGGTGCTGCTTTTTCGCTTTCAAATTCCTGAACAGCTGCAAGAATGCTGTCCGCAGTGGATGACAGCCGCTCAGAACTTGTTTTCCTCTCTTGAGTAACCAAGAGAGAGAGGGAGTGAGCGGCAGGCAGCACAGCTCCCAGGCACTCTGTCTCTCAGAGCGCCCCAGGGTGACAAGCCCAAGGTGGGCCACGTCTGGACAGTCCCTGCAGCGTCCAGAGCAGCAGCCTAGACGCGGCGTCCTACTTGGCGCCTGGCGTGGAGAGTCCGATCTGCCACTTCGTTTAGTAAACACTTCCCCCGTTATTTAAATTCATTCTTTATATACAGTTCTGTTTAAATAAGGCACATTTGTTTTCTCACTTTGATTTTTTTTTCCTCCTCCTGAGTGCCCAAGATGAGTATGATGACAACTCCCATGAAATTTATTTAAAGAGTTATTCGAAGAGTAAATACCCCTTCTTGTCTGGCCTAGTGCATTTGTATTTGAATAATGCATCATCTGAGTCAACACGGCCTTCTGTGCTCTGCGTAAAGTCTTTGCCGTGTTGCATAGCTCAAGGTATATTTTCCTCCTTTGAAAACCTGTTTGATGCAAGGAATGGTGTTCTGGTTGAAAACTGTATACAAACAAAACAGTGATGTACAAACGTTAGTGTTCAGAATAACTAGGCTGGATCTCAAGATAAGCTCTGTACTGTCATGGCCTACTCAGTGGGTTCTTTGTAAATATTACTGAGATCACACTTTGAGGGGAAGAAAACCGAGTTGAATGGAAGATGGCTCATTGCAGCAGTTCATGATGAAAGCTCAGAGTCCTTACTAAAATCAGCAACTTTTTTTCTAGCTTAACTTTTTTAGGTTTCGTTGAGAAATGACTGACAAACATCACTGTCCAAGAGGGGCAGCGTGATGGTCTGCTTTAAATCTATTGTGAAATGATTATCCCCGGAGGTCAGCTGACAACCGCCCTCTTACAGAGATACGAGAGAGAGAAGAGGTGAAAAGAGTAAAGGAGAGACATTCGCCTTATGTTTAGAATTCTTAGGATTTCTCTCTTAAGAACTTCCCTACATATCATACAATACTGTTGGCTATGGGCTTCCCCGGTGGCTCAGCCGGTAAAAAATTCTGCCTGCAATGCAGGAGACCCCGGTTTGATTCCTGGGTCGGGAAGATCCGCTGGAGAGGGGATAGGCTGCCCACTCCAGTATTGATGAGTTTCCCTGGTGGCTCAGGTGGTGAAGAGTCCACCTGCGATGCAGGAGACCTGGGTCCGCTCCCTGGGTTGGGAGGACCCCCTGGGGGAGGGCATGGCCGCCTGCCCCAGTAGCCATCTTGTGTGTGATGTCCCTCCCACGTACCCTTGTTCAGTCGCTCAGCCGTGTCCAACCTCTGCGACCCCTGGACCGCAGCACGCCAGGCCCTCTGTGTCCCACCGCACCCCGGAGTTTGCGCAGGTTCATGTCCCCTCCACATCGCTGCGGCTGGAGGGCTGCACCTTTTGACCCCCTGCCTCTAATTCCTCCTCTTCCCACTCTGCTTCTGTTGGTCCCTGCCTGTTTCTCCCTGGGTCGATCTTGGTAGCTTGTGGGTGTCTGAGAATGCTCCCACTGCTCCTAGGTTGCACGGTTGGCTGGTGCAGTTGTTCACACAGCCTCTTACGACCCTCCGGGTGTTTATGGTGTTCGTTAGCATAACCGTATCTCCTATAAAACCAGCATAAGTGTATGCAAACAGGGCTCATGCTGACCTCCTGGCCCGTTTCTTGGCGACCCAGAAACTGCGGCTTGTGTTTGCTCTCACGTCCATGTCTCCTTCTGCTTTTAATTTCCTGTTTGGAAGAGTTCTGTGTTCTTGTAATGAGGGGGAAAAAAAAAAACCCAAAATCTTCTGCAGTTGTTTTCACTTCTATCTTTTTGGCTGTCATAGCTCTGTTTCTTTTCATTAGGACTTTTGTCTAACAGCGTTTTCAGTTATCTTCAAATTTGGAAGGCCCTGACAGACTTTCTTTCAGGCTGAAACTTGGCTTCCACGGGCATGTTTCAATCTCTGGCATATTTGAATTCTGATGTGATTGATAATTCTGAAAAAAAAATTATATATATATATATATATACACACACATATACATATATATATATGTAAATCTGATTTGAAACTAAATCATACCCAAGGGCAGTTGAAATGCTTTTTTAAATTGTCATCATGTTGTATGTACAGGGTGGTGCTGAAAAGCCGTGCAATCAGAGCACTGTTTCACTAGAGTAATTGATGGACAGACTGGTGAAGGAGGGTTTCTCTGTGTCTCAGACAGTAAAGAATCTGCCTGCATTGAGGGCGACCCCGGTTCGATCCCTGGGTTGGAAAGATCCTCTGGAGAAAGGAATGGCAACCCCCTCCAGTATTCTAGCCTGGAGAACCCCATGGACAGAGGAGCCTGGCGGGCTACAGTCCATGGGGTCTCAAAGAGTCAGACACAACTCAGGGACTAAGACGGTCACTTTCACTTTCTGATGAATGAACACATACAGGACCTAGGCCACTGAAGCACTTCCTTCTTCGGTTGTCGCCTCTGCGTCGGAGGGCCTTGTATGTGACACTTTGACTGGGACCACCAGACCTCGTCGGGACCACACACGTCAGACACTCATCGTAAGTCTTCTCAAACGGTCTTACTTGCTGTTTGCCCATCACGTCTGACCCAAGCAAAGCAGAGATTCTGCTAAAAATCTTTTCCACAATTTACCAAAATGGCATCATCACACACACTGCCCTGAGGAGGAGTGAACGGCTGGCAGGGAGTGACTGGTGCATGGCCAGGCATTGGTGATGATTGAACCTTTGCTTACAGGCTTCACATTTCTCATGTTTAGAAGAGTTTTCCATGAACTGGCTTCCACCTTGTGTCTCTTAAACCTTATTTCTTCTCACATTTCTGGTGCCCTGAACCAAGAGACAGGTTCATAGCAGGAGGGACTGAAGCTGAAGCTGAAGCTCCAATACTTGGCCTGCCTAATGCAAGGAGCTGACTCATTGGAAAAGACCCTGATGCTGGGAAAGACTGAAGGCAGGAGGGGAAGGGGACGACAGAGGATGAGACGGTTGGATGGCATCACCGACTGGATGGACATGAATTGGAGCAGACAGTGAAGGGCAGGGAAGCCCGGCGTGCTGCAGTCCATGGGGTGGCAGACAGTCAGACACGACAGAGCGACGAAGCAACAGCAGTCAGTGGTCATGTGTCCCGGCAGCCTTCGGAAACCGGGACAGAGCGACCCCTCCTTACTCATCTGTGACTGAAACGCACGCAGCTAGTGACTGGGGCAAGGGATCTGCCGGTCAGGCATGCGGGGGGCGGGTGTGCCCAGCGCGCCGTTGGAATTCTGCTCATGGTGACCGTGGAGCTTTCCCCGGGCTGCGGTACAGAGTGCCGCAGACCAGGCGTCTTAAGCATCAGAAGCATTTTATCTCCTGGCTCCGCAGGCTGCAAGGCCGAGACGGAGGTGTCAGCAGGGCGGGCTTCTTCTCGAGTCATGTGGGAAGGTGGCTCGGGGCTCTCCCCTCCCGCTAACCGACGGCCCTCATCTCCTGGTCTCTCTCCCTGGCCCTCTCTCTGCACCTGTCTATCTGCAGATCTCCGCTGCAGATTCCTCAGGGCTTTTGCCCTCAGCGGGGCAAGGATTCTGTGTACGTGCTAAGTCACTTCAGACTCCTCGTGACCCCCATGGGCTGTAGGCCGCCAGGCTCCTGCATCCATGGGATTTCTCAGGCAAGAATACTGGAGTGGGTTGCCGTTTCCTTCTCCGGGGGACCTTCCCAGCCCAGGGATCGAAGCCCCATCTCCTATAGCTGCCTACATTGCAGGCGGGATTTTTACCACTAGTGCCACCTGGGAAGCCCTCTGCCATCCCCATCTGTCCCCAGATGTCTTCTTAAAAGGACTCCAGGCGTATTGGACTGGGGTCCACCCTGTGGCCTGACTTTAACTCGGTTACCTCTGCAAACACCCCCTGTCTAAATAGGGTCACATTTAGAGGTCCTGCAGGTGAATACCTCAACAACTGAACTGCCAGTCGGGGGAGCGGCATGTGGTCCCAGTGGTACAGAATGCTCTTACCAATGCAGGAGACACAGGAGACTCGGGTTCC